GCAGCTTGTCTCTTTTGAAATTGTTGTCGGCATTCTTTGTCAAACCATGTCTTTGTCCTTTTGGTTTTGGTCTTTCCAATAGTCTTGTCAGCCGCCTTTGTAATTGTGTGTTCCAGAGTACTCCAGATATCTTCAATGTCGGTCTGTTCTATATGTTGCCCCAATTCCTCTTCTGTTTCCTGCATGTACTTTTCTTGTTCTTCTTTAATTTGTAGTTTGGTGAGATTCCATTTCTCGTTCTTTTCCTTTGTAGGTGTGTTGTTCTTATGGGATAATATTCTAGTTTTTAGTTTAGCTCTTACTGTGGTCTGTGTCCCCATCCACTCCTCTAAGGCTCTTTACATCCAATATACCATTTCCGTGTCGAGCATCTACAACGATGTGATCGATTTGGTTTCGTGTTACGTGATCGTTGGATACCCATGTTTGTTTGTGAACATTCCGGTGCGGGAACATTGTAGACTTAATCAGCATGTTATTCGCTGCCGATAATTCTGTTAGTGTTTGTCGTTTGACATGTCGTGGAGGCTGTGCCGGCCAATAGTCGGTCCTGGGTATATGTACTGATCACTTGGTCATGAATTTCCAAATGTTCTCCTATTGGACTCATTATTTGAGTTTTGCTGATATTCATCTCAAGTCCCACTGTTGATGACATGTGCTTTAGATCTTCCAGCATTGTTCTAAGTTCATTTATGTCGCAGCTAATTAACAAAATGTCATCAGCACATCGTAATTGATTCAGATATAAACCGTCTATTTTAATTCCTTTATTTTCCCACTGTATTTTGTTAAATTTGTTCTCTAGGGCCAGTGTAAAAAATTTTGAGGAGATTATGTCTCCTTGGCGTACACCTCGATCTACCGGGATTTTATTCGTCTTAGTATCCTGATCTATTTGGACACAGAAGGTGGCATTTTCGCATGTTCTTTATCAGCTGCGAGTTGAATTGATGAGAGGAAGGCCCATGATTCTATAGAGTTGAAGGCCTTTAGTCTACAAAGGCTAGGTGAAGTTGAATGTTATATTCATTTTATTTTTCAATAAGTAACTTTAGTATTTGGAGGTGATCCAAGGTACTGTTACCTTTTCTAAAGCCAGCTTGCTCTACTGGTTGGTATTGGTCAAGTTTTAATGTTGGTCTGTTTGTTACGATTCTCATTAATAATTTATATAAGTGAGAGAGTGGACTTATAGGGCGATAATTCTCGATGTCTGTGTTATCCCCGTTTTTAAATATTACGTGCTTGCTTAAGTGCTACATTAAGTGCTGCATATATGCAGCACTTAAAGTAGCTGAAAAGTGTTGAATGTAATCGAAACAGAACATATATGTAGTATTTTTAACGGATAATCGAATAGAAACAATCAAAAGTTTAAAACAATAAATATTTATGTCCCATTCGTGGCAATTTGGTTCCCATTTTTTTATTGTCATCCGGCATTTGTTTAGAACATGATAATTGGGTTTCTTAAAATATTTTTTATTAAAATAAATTAAATGATGAAAATCTTAAAATGTTACATCATTGGAGATTAACAGTATTTTTAAGATTTTATCCCCTCAAATTGTTATACAAAAAAGATCTAAATGCTGCCCTCCCAGCTTTTAAGTTCTAGTCTAGTGGAGATATTTAAACGAAATTTTGACGGTTTATATAAAAATGAAATTACTTTTCAAGACACGAAAATGTTAGCTGAGCTTGTGTAAAGCAACAGTGTAACGTATTTTCTTCATTTTCCTGTTTGTCAAAATAAGCAGTCCATGATAAGTGCGGAAAATGCTTCCACAAATCTTTGAGGCTAAAATATGACGATAGAACCCAACTTTACTTGGTCCAAAAGTTAAATTTGGTTTCAGTTTTTCTTAATTTTTTTTTGAGAATTAAAGTGTATTGCGACAATATTCGGTTAGGTGAGGTTTTTGAGGGGTAAAAAATTGAAATTTCAGTTCCATTTCGTTCTAAAATGTGGAATTAAAGTACTTGCACTAAGCACACATTAACAACAAAATGACGTTTTTGCAGCGTATTTTATTTTTGTGTTATGTGTCGTATTCTCCAGCATCTTTAACTTCTGTTAAAGATGATCTAGATAGTTTAGAAAGAAAAACTTAACCAAATTGTACTTTTGCCACTCTGAATTTCCAAAATCCGCCACTTTTGGACCGAGATCGGTTGCGTTGAATTGCATTGCAAAGAACTTGTGGTAACATTTTTCCATTGGATTCAAGGACACCCCGCATACTACATACTTTTTTTGGAAATCTGCTTATACTTAGTCCTGAATTTTCAGTATGAAATTTAAAAGTTCATGAGAAAAATTGTTTTTTATACAACTTCTGAGATATGACTTTAGATATGGCATTTTTTTTTTATCGTATTTGACTGACTACTTAATTTCTTGAATAATAATGGACTAATAATTTCTGCTTTTTATTTGAAAAATTAAGAAGGGATAATCAAAATTCTGAAACAGTTAGTTATATTTCGTGGAATTTATTTATTATACGTATCTATCTACAGGATGATTAAAAATTGGGATCATTACTTTTAAGGAGTTATAGGGGCTCACTTAGAGAGGCCGAGAAAATAATTAATACAATTTTCAACTTTGTTATTAAGTATTATTTTAACATTTGCACAACATTACCATTGCACAACAACTGAGGCTTTTCGAGGCACCGGATGATTGTCCTGGTAACTCCCCCGAGGAAGGGCTACATTTCTATGTATGTAAGATACACAGGACACTATAACACATTAAATCTCTGATCTTCCGAATACCGGTACAATCTGAGCAAGAGTTTATTAGCCGAATACGAGAAGCTGCTCAAAGTGTGAGCCCAGGCTGCCGCCAAGAATGCACAATAAAGTGCATCTCTCTCGGATTGCTCTCTCCCGGATTCCCGGTTGTATCATTAAATAAGTGTGTTTGGCACTGTCAACCAAACTGGTCCTTCAAACCCGAAATAAATTTGTTGACTGTGAGAAATTCGTAATTCAAACGACTGTAAAGCGTCCAGTGCGCCTGTGAAGACAATTGTTTAATACAGTTCGCTAAATTTGCTCGGCTTGACTGGACACATCCCCTTCCCCAAACAACGATCTTTAATAATTAAGAAGCAACAGGTATTTACGAAAAGTTAATTAGGCAGATTACCTTGACAAACATTGTTGCCATCTTTTCAATATAGTTTTTTTTGCAAATACCTCAGTTTTTAATAACAATTATTTTTTTCCTATTTTTCCTGTACTCCCAAAACAGCCCCAGTGGAATGATGCCAATTTAGAATTACTCAGGAAGGGGCATTATTTTAACCTAGGTCGGAAAATAAGCCTGCTTTGCTATATAAACGAGAGGCCAAAAATGCCTCGTTAGGGACTTACAGGATGTTGAAATTTAAGTAAAAAAATGCTAAATTATTAATTTCTTCAAAACAGATGAAGATATTTTAGCGAAATTTTTAAGAGATCAAGATTATAAAATAATTTTGTTAATTTTTGGCAGTGACCCGCGCACCAACACACTATCAAATTTATTACGTAAAAAAAATAGTACGCCACTGAATTTTTCAAGTATTGCAATTATTTTTGAAATTTCTTGTTCTATTCCACAAAAAAATGTCTCTGGCATTTTTTGCTACGACCAGCGGTTAGGATTTTAAAGTAAGATCTGTGGTAGGTGGGTCACACTGGACACTAACCACAAAATTTGTGAAAAATGACAACGACGGGGAAAATATTCTGCGTAGAGTGGAAGATGCGCCAACATCTTACGACAGACACACGACAAATTAGTAGCACATTGAATGTTTACATTTGAAGTTACATCGAAGATTTATGGTGATTCAAAATTGCTGTCATTCCTCTGGAGGTGTTGTCGGGGGGTGTTTTGAGTACAGAAAAAATTCATTGTAAAATTGTAAGAACTGAGATATTTGCAAAAAACTATATCAGAAAGATCGCAACAATGTTTTTCAAGTTAACCTGCCTAATTATTATTATGTACAAACCTGTTTCTTCGTAATTATTAAAAATTTCGGTAACCATGGAAAAATACAGAGTGACAATAAGATAGATAAGGATAACAAATAAATTTAACAGTATTTGTTAAATGTGGAACGCACTTTTTCGAAATGTCAACATTGTTATCATAACCTCGAATTGAAGTGTACACTACACAAATAAATACACGTTTCAGTCTCTAACTGCAAACAAGTTAGTGCCATTGTAATCACCTTATTATGACCTCCCCTCGGGCAGCGTCTCGTATTCGGTTAATTAACTCCTGCTTAATTTGTACCGGTGTTCAATAAGCCATTGGTTTAATGTGTCCTTCTGCTATGTGTAACAGTAGCAGAAAGTTAGAAAGAAAGAGCTTCAAAGTAAATCACAGTTTGACAAATTATTGTTGTTATTGACACGCGCTATCTACCTGTAACTATCTGATGATGACAAAAAACATCATTGCCGCTTTGACTTTTCATCGAAAAATTGTAGAAGCAAACTTTTTCAAAATCAAATATTTTCGTAATTTGAAGTAAAAATCGTAATTTTTCTTTTCGAATGCTTACGTGTTCCAATATGTTACGAACTAAACGTGGGACAATTTCAAAATAATGCTTAATAACAAAGTTGAACTTCGATTTTCAACTTACCTCTTCAAAGGAATGACGCCAATTTTGAATCAGCCTATATAGTTTTGGGTTTTCTGCTAAGCTAAATTGATGACAAATGATCATATGACTAATTTGTATTTAGAGAGATACGTACACGTCGTTTAGCTGACTTGAGATTTTGAGCTATCATCATCTTGTCTTGGAATAGTAGACCTACTTGCTATCAATCCAAATTTTGTATGAATATTGGAGTAGATTATTTTGCGTGATGCAGTTCTGAGGCTTGCTCTGTAGATTTTTTTAATACTGTTTGATACCGTCGACATTTATATGCATTATGGAACACATGAAATAGTCATGTATTTTTTTCTTTTTAAGCATAAGCAACAAGACGAAAAATGCGGCTTCTCCACACCCCGGAGTGAATGGGAATGGCGAGTGCAGGTGAGTTTCGAAAATAATGGTATATCATCTGTGTTTAGAGTAAGCTAATATTTACCAATTGTTCCCCAATAACTGTAATAGTCGGCAAAAACTGAACTGTGAATGAATATCACAAGGATTCAACTGAAATTCCTCTGTGGCCAGTGTTCGTGAAGAGTTTGAAGACAACTTTTTTTATTTCGTCGATTAATGTCTCAGTCTTAATATGACTCATTTTCTCCTGTAAATCTTGAAATTTCCTCCGATTTTACTAGTTCCTACATCATTGGAGATAATTTTATGCTTTTTGAAATGATGATGCACCAACCAAAATAAGTTTTTCTTTCATATCTAATAGTCAATCTATTTCAAATTTGTCTAGTAATTTTATTGAATTTTCAAGCATAAAAGATATTTGAAGTGGTTCGTTTTGAAATGTCATGCAGTTCCAATTTGTGATTGAGTTTTTTGCATTTTAGGGATCCATCTTTCGAAGAGCCACAAATTCGGGTAAGTGAATTTTTCTACTTTTTCACGAGGTGTTACTAGTTACGAGTTTTTCAACTTTTCCACGCGAAATACGACAGGAATATAAATTTTCAAAGAATACATGGACATGTGTTGGATACGATAATACGATACGTAACAACAGTAAAATTTGAAATAGGAAAAGGGCTTGTTTGGAAATGTTTTCCCATGCGTAGGGTGTTTTAAATGCAAAATACAGTTTAAGAGTTAAAGAAAAAAAAATTGTGAAATAGTGTGGATTCTTAAATAAATACGTTCTAGCGGCTTCTATCCATATATGCTTCTTGATCACGTTCTCACATGGTTTGAGTGCATTGAATAAATTTGTAAACAATTTCAAAATCCAGTTCATCAATCAAGTAACCGAATTAATCACATTTGTGTTGCTCGTTCAAGGAGAATTCCCGTATTTTGGCGAAAAAATGTTTTCTGCAAACTGAATAACCTGCTGGCTCACTTGAACCAGATGGTAATGACGGAAATTTAATTGAACTGAGACTCTCTGTTAATGGGATTCTACAGTCTCGTGATTTTATTCTTATGAGATGATTAACCACCCCAGACGAAGTCCAGGCCGATACAAAGCAAACTACCAGTAAAAATTGATTAATAAGCGAGATATTAATTTTTCAACAATTCCTTAATTATTTTTTGTGTCCATGTATGGAAGTAATCCCTCATCGGATACCTGGCTGCTGCCAAATTTAGCATGTTACATTGCCAGTCGGTAGGCTTTCATATAGCAGTGTGAAATGGATAAGCATATTTTACTTGCTAAAAACTATTAATTATTTATTAACTGAAATCATCATGTTTACTAATTTAATCAAAATAATTGAGGAAAAATCGTATTTAGTATTTATTTTTTATTATGGTGTTTTTGGTTTAATCGACAGCATTTGGAGTCCGTCTTAGAAAACAAATTTTGAAAATCGCACATTAACTTTCTTTGAATATGAAATCGAATTGAATGCAACTGGTGTGATTTTAGTGGAGAAACTGTTCAGTTGAATATAATTGTTCCCATAAGTTCATAAAAAATGTAAATTTTACAAATTTACTGCGTCAATTTGTTATTGATGATTTGAAAATATATGCGTGAATGTTCTAAAATTGGAAATTTCGTGGGTTTTCAGATGTTCGCGCTTTTGGGCTTCAAGCCCACGGACTTGCATAAATCTACTCGTTAATGAACTAAAATTATCATAATTAGAGTGAGATTGTATATAAAATGCGTCTCTACACAAACGAGGATCTACTGTTTAATATTGCAATGTAAATTTATAAATATTTTTGAAACCCAAAAGGAGATTTGTTTTAAATTCATGAAACATGTTTCCTTGAGTCAATTTTGTTGGGACTGAAAACTTCCAGTGTTCGCAGCATTTTTACGTGGTAGATGATAGCAGATAAGTGAGATTTTTACTACTAGTAGAAGCATGCTTTCAGGGAAAAGTAGTTATTTGATAAATTACATTCCAATAGGACCTTTCCTTTCAATTGAAAATTATTGTATTTTTAGATCATAATACAGTGTGTTCGGGTTGAGAACTTACCTCCCCTGTTAAATCTGTATTTTTTTATCGAATTTAATTGTTCTTTTTGTTGTTAGTTACATATTCAAAACATTACTAAATGGCTCAGTGAACTTTCAAATAGTCAAATTTCAAAAATTTCCATGAGGGCAATTGTATGGAAAAAAAATTCCACTGGCTCATTTAAAATGGTCTATCATCCTTATAGGTTACGTACATCGTGCGCAAAAGTAAATGTGACAATTCGAACTTGTCACTGTCATTATATTTTTAAGAGTATTGTTTATTGAACAGTAACCTACATGCTTTTTTAATGAATTGCGTAGGTTTATCGACAACTATTGATCCTAATTTAACTTTGTTAAAAGTTCAGTGTCAAAGTCGTTTTAATGGCCCCTTTTTCCGCGTGTGACGATGTTGCCACACGCAAACACAGTCGTTTTATATAGCGCAAATGTCATGCAAGATATGCAACTTACACAAACTCCATACCGTGAAAGCAGCGGCTTCAAAGTTGGAAGTTGAAACCAACGTTTGTGGCATCTCTAACTTCTGGTGGGGTACAAGACATTGAATTTCCAAAACTCATTGTTTCACTTGTATATGCTTACAAAAGGACGCTTTTGAAAAATTAAAAACGTCAAAACGTGACATTTGAAAAATGGCATGGACATCAAATTTGAGATATGAAATCGATGATTTTTATTTTTGGCTAATCTTTTTGATTATAACTTGTGATTCATGTTATGTCTTTCATTCGAATAAAAAATATTGTTCGATGCAAGGGCGAAAATCCGTTTTTCGAAATCCTGACCGATTGACACTCGAGACGAAGTCGAGTCGAATAATGACACTTGTCGCCCTTGTATCGAAAACTACTATTACTACTATTTCGTGTCAATCCATCGGTAGTTCGAAAAACTGATTTTTGCCCTCGTATCGAAGAATATCTTTTTCTTGGTCCCCTGGTGGAAAGTACATACTTTCGCCACTGTTTTCGATGGCGAAAGCATCACTTTGATCCATTACAAATTTTCTTTATCCTGTGTGGAAAGTAATAACTTTCGCCACGCGCGCTGATAGCTTGACCTTGGCACTGACTGCAGTTGACTGTTTTAACATTTTCAAAGTCTTTTTTCAAAACATACTTTTCCCGGCCAGTTTCCACCGAGGATCAAGAAAAATTGTATACTGTACGCGCGACAAAACTCAAAAAACTCAGAGTTGTCTTTGAAGCCTCTTGCCGTACTTCATCAGGTTATGCTCTAACTGACCTAATGTTCGAAGGCTATCAGATTCAATCGGACTTTTACGATATTCTATGCATGGTCTTTTTCAAATTTGTCCTGGAGTGCGATATTGAGAAAATTTTTCGACAAATAAACCTGCTCAAACGATTCTCCTAAACATTCTCATTCTCAACCCAAATCAAGATCTTCAAGGTGGCGAATAGCGTTCACTGTGACTTATGGAACTAATTCTGCTCCATTTTTGGCCACGCGTGTTCTCAAAGAGATTGCGCTTAGAAACAAAGACAAATACCCACAGGACTCAAAGTCTATTCTCGAACAATGTTACATGGATAAGACATCATCCAAATGGGGCAGATTCCGTGGATGATTTTAAAAAATGGCACATTGAGCCCATCTCTTATGAACAAAGACCATTTTACTCCTCACAAATGGTGCACTAATTGTTCTGACTTAGTGTTAGAGGAACCCAAATGTCACGCTGCTGAACGTAAAAGTTCCAAAATTCACAAAGAGAACCATTCTTTCACTTGTGGCGCAGTGTTTTGACCCGATTGGTTTGCTCGCTCCCGTAATAATTACAAGAAAGCTGACCATTCAACGGCTTTGGTTACTGGAGTTAGGTTGGGAAGTTCCTATCACTGACGAGTCAATTTTGGAAAAGTGGATTGAATCTATAAATAATCTACTATTGTTGAGCTTCTTAAGAATTTCAAGACCTTATTTTTTGGATAAATCCCAAAGAATGACTGAACTACACGGATTTGCAGACTGAAGCATGAAGGCATATGCAGCGTGCGTTTACTTGGGTACCATCTATAGCGACGGTTCGGTTTCATGCTGTTTGGTTTCAAGGAAAACTCCTTGCCCCACTTAAAACAGTGTCTCTTCCTCGATTCGAGCTGTGTGGCATGGTGCTTTTATTAAGACAACATGAATAATAATTTATCATAGTTAAGAATAGCCAAAAATAAAAGCTATCGATTTCATTTTTTAAACTTATTTGTAAGCGTTTACACGTGAAGCAATGAGATGCCACAAATGTTGATTTCAACTTACAATCTCAAAATAGGTTCCTTCCTTCACGTTATGGTGTAAAAAGTATAAGTTGCATACTTTATGACATTTGTGCTTTTTAAAAAGATCGTGTTTTGCGTGTGGCAACATAGACAAAAGCAGAAAATTAGCCCATTAAAATGACTTTCAGAGTAAACTTTAAATTATGATCAATAGTTACCTACGTAATTCATTAAAAAAGCGTGCACGTGACATTTTAATGAACATCATTTAAAAATGTAATGACAGTTACAAGTACAATTTGTCACATTTGCTTTTGCGCACACTGCAATTATTAAAAGTTATCAGTATCACTATTTTCTTTTCTTTATAAGGTTTTACAAGTATCAGAAAATAACGATAATACAAACATACAGGGTGTCAGTTTGAAAAATTCCCACCCTTAGTATCTTTCTTGCAGTTAAATATATGAAAAATCGGTAACACACGTCAATTCTATTTCTACAATGTCTACTACAAAACCCATTTTCGTGCAAGCAATAGCAAAGTCTGTTTTCGAATTAGTCTCTAACACTTCGGAAAATTTTGGTAATTGACCGCATTTTCCGTTGCCATTCGCCTTCTAAGACCATCAATTTCAGCAGGTTGTTTCATAAACAATGAATTTAAAATGTCTCCAAAGTCCGAATAGCTGTTTAAGCGATAAAAGTTCGTTTTCTATAAATGGAAATGTTATCAAACAAAATTGTCCATATTGGAGTCACGAAAACCCGCATATTTTCCGAGAAGGACTTGCTCAATATCCTCAGAAAGTTAAAGTTTGGACCAGAGACTAAGAATTATTACTTGTCTCTGGTTTGGGCTGGTATTCTTGAAAATGCCATTATTAGTTTTTTATTTATTGAAGAAAGCTTGACCAGTGATGTGTATTTTAATATGCTTCAAGAGACTATTAATCATCTTATCTGTCTATCTATCTATCTATATGATTATACCACAAGGGTGATATAATCTGATATATATCACCCATGAGCTAGAAACTCAACTTGATACAGAGGGTAATTCAGTTTTACAGGGGGATTTGTTAACATTCCAGCAGGACGGTGTTGTACCTCATTATTTTCTTACGGTCCAACAGTGGTTAAATGGAAAATTCTCGGATAGGTGGATCGGCAGAAGG